GTTTCTTTACCTGATAAATCATGTCAAGTGATAGAGATTTAATGTTTTTGTCCCTGCAAGATACACATTTAAACCTATTCCCCCAATGTGATGGTATTTGAAGGTAGTGCCTCTGGGAAGTGATTCACTCATGAGGGTAGAGCTCTCATGAATGAAATTAGTGCCTTTATTTAAAAAAAAAATCCCAGACAGCTCCCTTGCTCCTGCCACTATGCAAAAACACAACAAAAAGATGTCTATGAGCAGGACACAGGCCCTCAATAGGCAATGAATTTGCTGGCACCTTCATCTTAGACTTCTCAGCCTCACAGAACTATAAGAAATAAACTTCTGTTGCCTGTAAGACACCCAGTCTATGGCATTCTTTTATAGTATCCCAAGCTGACTAATACATCCAGTTATCAGGAAAAAATTACACCAAATATTAGAAAACAAAAACTCCTTTAGAAGAGGTAGTAAGCAATACAACTGGGAACCAGGCACAGCAGAGATGGTGGAACCAATCAGATTGGGAATTTAAAATATGTGTGATTAACAAGCTAATTTACCCTTTATAGGAAAAAAATCACAGAATATAAGAATAGATAAGCAATGGAAGAAGGGAGATAAAATCCTAAAAGAAAAAGAAAAATTTAAAAATAAATGTTAGGGACCAGAAACAAGAACACAAGTGAAAAATGCCTTTGTAGGTTTATCAGTAAACTGGAGAAACCTGAAAAAACAATCTCTAGCCTTGAGGATATATCAATAGAAACCTCCAAAACTAAGTAGCAAAGAGAACAAAAACTGGGGGGGAAAAATCAAAACAGACTATCCAAACACTGGGAGACACCTCCAAAGGTTTTATATACGTGTAATGGTAGTACTGAGCTTTCCAGGTGACTCAGTGGTATAGAATCCGTCTGCCAAACAGGAGATGTGGGTTCGATTCCTGGGTCAGGAAGATCCTGCTGGAGAAGGAAATGGCAACCCACTCCAGTAATCTTGCCTGGAGAATTCCATGGACAGAGGAGCCTAGTGGGCTACAGTCTATGGGATTGCAAAAGAGTCAGATATGTCTTAGTGACCAAACAACAATAACAAATGGTAATACTAGAAGTAGAAGAAAGAGAAAAAGGAACAGAAGAAATATATGAAAAAGTAATGACCGAGAATTTCCCCCAAATTAATGTTGGACATCAAACCACAGATCTAGAAAGCTCAGAGAACACCAGTGTCCCCAAAACAAAGAGAACTGTTGAAAACACTATACCTAGGCATATCATCTTCAAAATACAGAATTAGATAAAGAAAAAACCCTGGTAGAAGCCAGAGAAAAAAACACCTTACATAAAGGGGAACAAAAATTACACTTAACTTCTCCAAAGAAACTTTGCAAGCAAGAAGAGAGCAGGGTGAAATAAAGTGTTGAGAGAAAAAAAAAACAAAAAAACAAAAAACCTAGAATTCTGCACCCTTTATTATCCTTTAAAAATGAAAAAATTATTATCCTTTAAAAATGAAAGAGAAATACTTTCTTAGACAAACAAAAATTGATGAAGTTTATTGCTAGTAGACTTGCCTTAAAAGAAATGCTACGTTTCCTAAAAAGAAGGAAAGTAATACAGGTCCCAAATCTGGATCTGCATAAAGGAAGAGAATTGAAGCATGCATAAGTAAAGGTAAAACAAAAAGTTTTATTTTTCTTATTCTTTATGGGTCTAACAGAGCCATTATTATTTTTCTCAAATAATTATTTTCCTCAAAATAATAGCAACAATTTATTCAATTATGTATGTATATATATATACACATACATATACATATGTTTCTATATGCTTAAACATAAGTGAAATGTATGACAACAATGATGTAAGCAATAGAAAGGAAAAACTAGGATTTTTTTTTCAATTACAAGGTACTCACACTACCCATGAAGTAGTACAGTATTATTTAAAAGTAAACTAGAATTAGTTATAAATATATAAATATATATTGCAAACTCTAGAACTAACACTTAAAAAGTCAAAAATGAAGTACAGCTATATTCTAAAAAAGGACAGAAAAGGAATCATACAAAATAATTAAAGCCACAAAAGGCAGGGGGAAAAAAATGTACAGCAAAAATATCAACAAAGTGGGAGTTCCTTGATGGCCTAGTGGGTAGGATTCTGGGTTTTCACAACCATGGCCTAGGTTCCTGAGATCTTACAAGCTGTGTGGTACAGGCAAAAAAAAAAAAAAAGAATAAGGGCAAACAGAAAACAGTAGTGTATACTAATTCAACTATATCAATAATCATTCATGGCAAAGATCTAAATGCACTAATTAAAAGCCAGATTGTCAGAATGGATCGAAGATATCACTATAGTTGTATAGTAAGCCTAGTCTACAAAAATCCCACTTTAAATATAAAGATATATAAATGTAAAGTAAATGGATAGGGAACAGTATATCACATTAATAGTAAACAAAAGAAAGCAAGAGTGAAGGTGTTAGTTGCTCAGCTGTGACCAACTTTGCGACCCCATGGACTGTAGCCCACCAGGCTCCTCTGTCCATGGAATTCTCCATGCAAGAATACTGGTGTGGGTAGCCTTTCTTCTCTGGGGGATCTTCCCAACCTAGGGATCAAACCCAGGTCTACCTGTATTGCAGGCAGATTCGTTACCATCAGAGCCAAAATAGAAAGCTTTTTATTCAGAAAGAGTATACTTCAAAGTAAAGATAATTATCAGGGATAAAGAAGGTCATTACATAATGGTAAAGGGGTCAGGTCTCTAAAAAGACGTAATGATCATTAAGGTGTAGGCACCTAACAAAAGAGCATCAACTAAATGAGGCAAAAACTGATAGAATTGCAAGGAGAAATAAATGAATCCACTATCACAGTTGGAAATTTCATCCTCTCTCAGAAGTAGACAGACCAGTGGGCATAAAATCCATAAGGACATGCTTGAACTCAGTAACAACCATCAGTCAACTAGATGTAATTGATACCTACATGCTACTTCATCCAACAACAGCAGGATACACTCTTCTCAAGCTCATATAGAACATTTACCAAGATAGACCACATTTTGAGTCATAAACACACTTTCACAAATTTAACAGACTAGAAATCATACGACGTCTGCTCTCAGACCATATAGAATTAAATTAGAAACCAAAAACAGAAAGATCAATGGAAACTCACAAAATACATGGAGATTAAGCATCACAATTCTAAATAACACATGGGTCAATGAAGAAATCTCAAGAGAGATTTTAAAATATTTTGAACTAAATGAAAATGAATAGAGAAACAATCAAAAATTGTGAGACACAGGATAAACAGCTCTTACAGGGAAATTTATACCACTGAAAACAGATATGAGCATCTAAGTTACCACCTTAGGAAAAAATTTTAAAAGAGCAAATACAAAATAAAATATTAAGTATCCAAGTAAAATATTAAATACCAAAATAATAGCCAAGAAAATAAATAAGAATTAGAGCAAAAATCAATGAAATTAAAAATAAGAAATGAACAGAGAAAAGCAACAAAACCAAAAGCTGATTCGTTGAAAAGATCAATAAAATTTATAAACCTCTCACCTGGCAAACTAAGAAAAATGAGAGAAGACATAAATCACTAATATTAGAAATGAAGGAGGAGACATAACTATAGGCCTCATATACATTAGAAGAATACAGGAATGTTATAAACAACTCTATGCCCATAAATTTGATAACCTAGATGAAACAAACCACTTCCTTAAAAGGTTCAACTGCCAAATTCTCATAAGAAGAAATAGATGATATGAATAGGTCTAAACCTATTAAAGAAATCAAGACAGCTTTCCAAAACTAAAAGTACCAGACCCGGATGGGTTCACTGGTAAATTCTACCAAACATTTAGGGGAAAAAATTATACCAATTCTCTACAGGTTCTTTCAGAGGACACAAATAGAAGGAATACTTCTTAACTCATTGTATGAGGCCAGTATTACCTTAATACTAAAACCAGAAAACACATTACAATATAACTACAGACCAATCTCTCTCATGATTCTTAATTAACACTTTTTTTTATCTTGTTTGAGATTTATAATTATTATTCTATGAAAACAACTGCATTTTATTTCCCTGTTAATGTATCTTTTTCTAATAACTCTATAAGCAGTATTTTTCACTGCTCATTAATATTCAGGGGAAAACCAAGGAAATCAAGTGCAGAGAAAATTCTTATTGAAATACTCACTGATTTCTCAATTGAGAATCATTTATCCTTACTCTAAATGGATCCATTTTGAAATGTTTATCCTATAACCTTCAAGTTTTTAAGTTTAAATATAAACTTTAAAAAAAATCCAAGGTTTCTGTGACTACAAAAAATCCAAGGTTTTTATGACTACAAGTTCCAAATGATTAAACTGAAGCATAGCGAGAAAAAAAAAAGTTAATGGCATTTAGAGTTTTATATTCATAAATATAAACTACCTAGAACAGTGAAAATAAAAACGATGTACTATTCAGACTGTACCAAGAATATTATTCTTAGTTCTCAACCTCTTATCTTGAAGAGAGAAAAAGTCAAAAACTGAAGATCCCTAGATAACCTCAAAGGAAGATAAGTTATCTTGAAGTTAAATACTGAGAATAATCAAACGTATTTAGAATGTTTATCCTTACGAGAAAAGATTTAAAGGCGGATTCAAAAGAAGTCATAGAAAAAGGGAGAATACAGTAGACAGCAAGCAGGTAAAGTTAAGTCAGTTTAGGAAGGAAAGAAACAGAGTAATCTGCTACTGGAACAAGAAGCCTCAGGGGTATGGAGTGTTTTAACCACAAGAGGTGATCAAGCAGAAATAGCGATCACTTGAAGGAAATTTTAAATACAGTTCCTTAGTTCCTTCCACAAAATTCACCGAATGACAACTACCTAGCAGGCAGAGTACATCTAAGAGTACTCTTTTTTTTTCAGATTCAATGACCTTAACATCTAGAAAGTAGATGAAATGGCTAATTTTTAACTTACCTCTTTTTCCTCCTGCAATATTTTTACTTCATAAAGTTGTCGGAGATTTGAGCCGCTATTTTGCTGTTGATCTTTCTTGATGTTTACATTTTCATAATGAGGTGCCTTTTTCCTTTAAAAATCAAGAAAAAAAAAAACCTTATTCTCAATTTCAAATATATAAATGTCTATATAAGCTAAGAGAATATTTTTACACAAACATTTCCTGCTTAAAAAGTATTCAGTAAGATCGTGTTATTGATGATAAACACATCTGGGTGTTGTTAGGCCAATATATCCTCAGTGAGTGCTAAGTCACTTTAGTCATGTCCAACTCTTTGCAACCCTATGGACTGTAGCCTGCCAGGCTCCTCTGTCCATGGGATTCTCCTGGCAAGAATACTGGAGTGGGATGCCATGCCCTCCTCCAAGTGATCTTCCTGACCCAGGAAATGAACCTGTGCCTCCTACGTCTCCTGCATTGCAGGCAGGCAGATTCTCTGCGTGCTGAGCCATTGTGGAAGTCCCAAGGGAAAAACAATTAATGCTACTTATATCACAAAACAATCAGAAAAAAAAGGCATAAAGAAAGATCTTTGAAAATGAAAAGGAAGCTTATTTTCCCTGAAATTTACACAACCTCAAGTGAGAATAATAAACCAAGTAAGCAATGAGTAACAGTTCTGGAGTCAGCCAGCCTGATATGAATCCTAAGATTGCTCCCTACTAACTAGGTGACCTTGCACAAATTGCCTAACTTCTCTAAACTTCAGATTTGACTCTTCTTCTGTAATTGGAAATAGTAATAACCAATTCTCAAGGTAATGATTAGAGCAGATATTTATATGTGAAGTGTTTGGTGGCATACATTTTTTCTAATTCTTAAACAGAATTCTGGGGAAACAGTTTCACATTAAACACTTCCAATGAGCTATAATGAACATAAGCAGATTATAGAAAAATAAAAACAAATGCTTATGTTGCATAATTGTCACTACTTTTTTGTTTACACATTACTATGAGTTAAACAATGTATAGAACATCTCAGTTCACTATTAAATGCTGGCTTCGTTGATTTTTTTACATGAAATTCAACAAACATTTTCAAAACCTCAAATAGTTTTATGGATAAAAAATTTATATTAGGGATATCAAGAGTCACATATCATTTAGGTCTGTTTCCCACACTAAAAAAGAACAAACAAAACCTATAAGCCTATCTTTCCGTTTAGAATAGTCAAATATTTCCATTTTTTAACTTTTTATTTTGTATTGGAGTATAGCTGATTAACAATGTGATAGTTTCAGGTAAACAGCAAAGGGACTCAACCATACATATACATGTATCTTCCTGTCATTCAGTTGCCCAGTCATGTCTGACTCCATGTGACCCCAGAGACTACAGCATGCCAGGCCTCTCTGTTCCTCACCATCTCCCAAAGTTGCCCAAATTCATGTCCACTGCATTGGTGATGCCATCCAGCCATCTCATCCTCTGATGCCCTCTTCTCTTCCTGCCCTCAATCTTTCCCAGCATCAGGGACTTTTCCAGTGAGTCAACAGTTGGCATCAGATGACCAAAATACTGGAGTTTCCGCTTCAGCATCAGTCCTTCCAATGAGTATTCAAGGTTGATTTCCATTAAGATTGACTTGTTTGATCTCCTTACTGTCCAAGGGACTCTCAGGAATCTGGTCCAGCACCACAGTTCAAAGGCATCAGTTCTTAGGCACCCCACCATCTTTACAGTCCAGCTCTCTCAGTGTATGTGACCAATGGGAAAATGATAGCTTTGACTTTACAGACCTTTGTTGGCAGAGTGATGTCACTGCTTTTCAACACACTGTCTAAGTTTGTCATAGCTTTCCTGCCAAGAAGCAAACGTCTTCTGATTTCATGGCTGCAGTCACTATCCACAGTGATTTTTGGAGCCCAAGAGGAGGAAATCTGTCACGATTTCCACCTTTTCCCCCTCTACTTGCAATGCAGTAATGGGGCCAGATGCCATGATCTTAGTTTTTTTAATATTTATTTTTAAGCCAGGTCTTTCACTCTCCTCCTTCATCCTCATCAACAGGCTCTTTAGTTCTTCGCTTTCTGCCATTAGAGTGGTACAATCCACATATCTGAGGTTGTTGATGTTTCTCCCACCTATCTTGATTCCAGTTTGTAACTCATCCAGCCCTGCATTTCTCACGGATGTGCTCAGCGTATAAATTAAACAAACAGGGTGACAGCAGACAGGCCTATCATACTCCTTTCTCTATCTTGAACCAATCAGTTGTTCCATACAGGGTTCTAACTGTTGCTTTTTGACCCGCATATAGGTTTTTCAGGAGACAGGTAAGATTGTCTGGTATTCTAATCTCTTTAAGATCTTTCCACAGTTTATTATGATCCACATAGTTAAAGGTTTTGGCAGAGTCAATGAAACAGAGGTAGTTGTTTTTCTGGAATTCCCTAGTTTTCTCTGTGATACAGTGAATGCTGGCAATTTGATCTCTGGTTCCTCTTCCTTTTCTAAATCCAGCTTCATAATCTGGAAGTTCTTGGTTCACACAATGCTGAAGCTTAACATTCAAGATTTTAAGCTTGACCTTACTAGCACGGGAAATGAGTGCCACTGTCCGATGGTTAGCACAATATTTAGTACTAGCCTTCTTGGAAATTGGGGTGAGGATTGAGAAGTATAGTTACTTCTATAGTTACCTCTATACTTCTAGTGTAACTACACATATCTATGCTCCTCCAAACTCCCCTCCCATCCAGCAAGTACTTCCATTTTTATACCATATCAAATCTCCCAGAGTAATTATGACTCAATCAATAAATAAGAAAAAGAAAAAATGGTAGAAAACATTGACTACCAGAAGGAACCAAGACAAGTCCAAATAAAAGATACAGTGAAGGCAGCAAACTAAAGAGTAGACAAATTATGGAAATGATGAACTATCTGAAGCAGTTAGGAGTGCAATCTATATGGATACATTCCTACTAGCAAAGTGAAAATGCAAACAGAAGAAAAAGAAGAAACATGACAAATAACAAAGATAAAAAAGAAAGTAACATTTAAAAACTAGGATGAGAATGGGAGCTGGACAGGGTTAGAGAAATAAAAGTGACCCTTATGAAGAAAATAGCAAGCAAAATTAGAGCAACATAATTAGAATACTGGTGATGCCTGAGGTACTCAGTTAGATGTGTAGCAAAATGGACGGAAAACAATCATCACAGAACTACATACCCCAAAAAGTATTAATTTTGCTTAATGTTAACAAAACTTCAATAAAACTGATAGACAGGCAGACAGATAGGGAATCAACCAGCCAAACTGAAAGAAGAAAGAGTAAAGTACTAACAAAAGCATTATGTCAAAGGAATGAGCACCATTAAGAGCATTTGACAGACTTTGCTTTATTTGGAATGACAAAGATTAAATTTAGATCCCAGTAAGCTGTATATACATGTTAAGCTTCCAGTGTAACTACTAAAAAATAAAAATACATTGTATATCTCCCATACTAGGAAAGTGAGAAGAGAAAAGGACAACAGAACAGGGTATAAATTCCCCAAAACAAGGACCACCTTTTATTCTTTTTTCTCAGTTACTAAGTTCATTACGAGGTTATAGCAAGAATTCAAACAATGTCTGTTCAATGAATGAACAGCAGCAGGGGAGTTTAAGCAAGAGTTTAAGCTAGGTCCACTGCTGGTATACACATGTATCTGAATGTGTCCAGCAAATTAACTGGAGGTAATCACTGTGGGACTTCCTATGAGAAAATTCATTGTATGAGAGAGAAAGGATCAGGCACATAAGCTGGAACCTGTTTAAAAAAAAAAAAAAAAACTAAATCATGGAAAGCAGTTATAGATTCTGAGAACAACATTGTATTTATTACTCAATTTTGCCCTCTATGGACTCATGTCTAAGACCTTACTCATGTCTAAGATAAGAGTATGAAAAAAATAAAGACGTTATTTTACAAGAAATTTATTTCCTAGTTAGACTTTGTAAATATTACCTTCAACCCAGTGTTACGGCTTTGACTCAAAGTGAGAATGCCTTCTCAATCTATCATTAGTCAGAAGAATGGACACTAGAGCCAGGAAGAAGATACAGAATCCTGGGGCCACCTATTTTTATATTTTTCCTGAACTTTTGTCTATCTTGTAATTAAAGACAGCATATTTTAGTACTTAGACACACGGGCTATATATCAAGTTCTGCCACTGAACAGCTACATGATATTAAATCTATTATTTATTCTCTGACTCATTTTTCACTGATAAATAGACATAACAATAGTAACTACACAGAGACTTGTGAATATTAAATGAGTTAATACAAGTAAAACAGGTAGCACATGATCTGGCAGACTGAAAAAGCAATAGTATTTACATAGGTTCAGTTCAGTTCAGTCCCTCAGTCGTATCCAACTTTTTGCGAACCTATGAACCACAGCACGCCAGGCCTCCCTGTCCATCACCAACTCCTGGAGTCCACCCAAACCCATGTCCATCAAGTCGATGATGCCATCCAACCATCTCACCCTCTGTCGTCCCCTTCTCCTCCTGCCCTCAATCTTTCCCAGCATCAGGGTCTTTTCCAATGAGTCAGCTCTTCGCATCAGGTGGCCAAAGTATTGGAGTTTCAGCTTCAACATCAGTCCTTCCAACGAACACCCAGGACTGGTCTCCTTTAGGATGGACTGGTTGGATCTCCTTGCAGTTCAAGGGACTCTCAATAGTCTTCTCCAACACCACACTTCAAAAGTATCACTTCTTCGGCACTCAGCTTTCTTTACAGTCCAACTCTCACACTGATACATGACCACTGGAAAAACCATAGCCTTGACTAGACGGACCTTTGTTGGCAAAGTAATGTCTCTGCTTTCTAATATGCTGTCTAGGTTGGTCATAACTTTCCTTCGAAGCCTAAAATATAACATTTGTTTAAGTTTTTTATACTGATTTTTCCTTTCATAACAGCATAACCTAGTCTAAATTATTAGTCAAAAACTACAGTAAAAGTATACTATTTTTTAACTTACTGGGTTATATCATACTGTCCAGGACCAGGCCCTGATGTTATAGGTAACTGGAGTCTTCCCAAAGAGTTGCCAAAATGTATCCCCTTGTATTTCAAAGTTGCTCTGGAAAAATCCTTTGGAAAAAAAAAGGGAGGATGAGAGATAGTTTATATAAATCATGAAACAAAGTTTAACTTAACTCGTCTACAGCAAGGATAGCCTTAGTCAATGAGTTTCCCCTGGTAAATGATAGAATCTTCCCTGATATAACTTAGATAATCCAAGTTATCACTGTATCCCATTCCACTCCTAAATCAACCAGGATTCCCAGAGAAGGACCTCTAGCTTAGCATGAAAGTGAAAGTTTCTCAGTTGTGTCTGAATCTTTACGATCGCCTGGACTCTAGCCTGCTAGACTTCTCTGTCCATGGAATTCTCCAGGCAAGAATACTGGAGTGGGTTGCCATTTACTTCTCCATCATAACCTCAACCAATATGAACAGCTTTGCTCTTGGCAGTACACTCAACAACCTAAATCCTTAAGGGTAATGAAAATCAGCTCCTTACCACTTAAATGAGGGAGGAAGGGCAGAATTGCACGATTTAGGGAAAGTCTAACACAAATGACTTAAATAGAACTTACATTAGTTTTAAGAAATTAAATTAGAATTCAAACATCACCAACAGATACTAGATAATGTCTAACTACTTGATATTTAAGTCTATAAGATATTCATGTAAAATTTTCATAGAGTAACAAATACACAACAAAAATTACACCCAATTCATTTTATAGTTATTATTTGAGCTCAGGATCAGTACTTTAACGCCAAATAAGTCATCTGTGACATGAGAAATCAACAATCATCTTCCTTCACATCCACTATAATAAATACCAAAATTAAGCATGACTCACTGAAGATTTTGTTTCAGAGAAGTTAAAAACACCTGCTTTTGTTAGATACTAATAATATAATATGAAACAAGAACAGTAGTGTTTCTTATAAGAATTCTCTTATGTTGAGTAATCATTTAAAAAATTTATAATATCTTATTTTTTTAACTGATGTAAAGTTAAACTCTAGTCTATTTCACTTTTTTTCTATTTCACTTTTAATTCATATTTGTAAAAATACAGCTTTAAAATAGGCATGGATTATTAAAACAATATATATATACAATGAATAAAATCCCAGTAACATAAACTTGTAGTTTAACTGCATAAAACAGTGTGCCAGTTGTTCTAGGTGACCACTGCTGTTCTAGAACAGTGGAACCAATCTCTCTCAATTACCATTATAAGCAATATTAATTAAATAAATAGCGATTAAATGTTAAATTCTAGTTCACACTGGTGAATCGAATCAGATTCCTGCCAGAATCTCAAAAGAAGAGTATAAAATAGACTCAAATTATCAGTGCTGGTAAAGAATCCACCTGCAATGCGGGAGACCTGGGTTCAATCCCTGCATTGGGAATATCCCCTAGAGAAGGAATGGCTACCCACTCCAGTATTCTGGTGTGGAGAATTCCATGGACTATATAGTCACAGAGAGTTGGACATGACTGAAAGACTTTCACTCTTTTTTTTTTTCTTCAGAAACTAAGAGAAGGTATCATTCACATTCACATTCCACTTCAGGGAATTTCTGGAAAATATAGCACAGCAGAGATTAGAACCAGAAAAAGACCTCGCTGCATGTGAAAGAAACCTCAGCTGAACCCTATTAACATGCCCAGGAAGATATATACTGGAGGTAAGGACAGGATCATGGGTAGTGAGTACAGAGCAATTCTCAAAACTACTAATAATCTTAGAGATTTATTTGCACTGGTGCCATTACATGAAGTGAAGAAAGAATGCTAAAACCCATTCCATTCCTGCCAAAATGGTTGGAAATAAACTGGAAGCACTGCCATTAGGCCCTAACAAAGACAGACTTCCTAGTTAGAGAGGCATCACTCCAGAAAGGTGACACAACAAAATTCAAAAATAAGCTGCTACAGCACAAAGATTTCCTACTATGTGAAAACATCTTTTATTTCCTAGAACTCACCACTAAAAACTAGCCCTCAAATACTATAAAATACAAAATCAATAAAACTCAACTTTTCTTTTTACACCCACCTAATCTTAAAGAATTAAACAGAGGCAAATACCATCTGACAGAACTTTGATGTTTGAATGAAATGAAATGGAATCTTTGTTGATTCTTTCATCATAGATGGTAATCTGAGACAGAAATTGAATTACAGTAAGTCTCCTTTCTTGGGGTGGTAGAGGATGTTGGAGCTGAGGGTATAGAAACAGGGAGTTACTAGCTATGTCCATGTAAGATTCAGACATATTTTGGAATGACTAGTGAACTAACAGAACAAATCAACCAGAAGGTAAATGCAAAAACTAATCCTATGGGAAGCAGCTAATCATGATAGCCAATATCCAGTAAGAAAATCTGACGGTCAAAAGAGTGGCAATGCTTACTACTTCTCTGTTGACTGAATTTGCCTTCTACAACACAATCCCCCAATGGATTTATGCCTGTGTTCTGTGGAGTGCAAAAGGGCTATGATAAAAACCTAAAAGATCTATTTCATTAAAACACTGGTAAAAAATCAGTGCTACTTTTAGACCCTTCTAGCTAGTGGAGTATAACACAGAGAGAAAAGCACTGTCTCCAGACTTCACTTCAGCTTATCGTGCAGCTTTCACTGTGATGGAGTACATGGGCAGAAATGCCCAGCAGAGAGCACCATCTGGCGAGAGACTAAAGTGTCTGGGGCAGCAGAAGCTGTCTCAGTGGAAACAGACTTGTTCAGGAGCATGGTTGAGACAGCCCTTCTAGAAGCTTCTGCGAAGGAGAACTTTGAAGAAGGCTTGAGTTCCACCACATCAACAGGAGGAGACAATATGCATATATTTGAGTTACTAACATAACTGTGACGCTCTTTAGTACCCGCAATCCAATGAAGCCTGGGAAAACTTGTTACATAAATAAAAAGGATTAATTCTTATTTTCACTAGAATATTTCCAGCACTGTAAGTCATCTTGTTGTGCTTAGCTAATTGGTATACAGATTCCTTCTAACAAACTACAACACAAAGAGCAGAGAACTATTGCCCTTCTTCACTAGGGATGCTTAGCTTGAACACACTATGAAGCTATAACACTCTATAAAGCACCAAATCAAAGCAAGATGATGATATTATTACAAATAGGCTGATATATGATTCCCAAGCCCAGATCCTTGTCAATCCTAGAAGGAACGGAGCTATAAATAAAAATTAAAAGGGCTATCCCACCAATCTCTCTAATGCATGGAGCTTACACCACTCTAGCACCTCTGAATGTAACACAAAAGGAAATAAAGGTAGTCAGACCATCCAAAGGCGTTGGGTCTAGTGTGCAAAGACAAACACCGTAACACCTAGCAGAATAGCACAGAAAAACAGCAGAGCCTGACATGACCAATAGAATAGCAGATGGTAAAAAAGGAGTCCTGGAAGAAACCATGTTTTCCACTAGAGTAGCTGCAAAGCAGCCTGTTCCTTTGGGTCAGTGGCAACTCAGAAGACTGCTGCACCCCAGAGGGCTTCAGAAAGGAAAGAGTGCTGAGCCATACAACACTTTTTCTTTGCTAAGGTAAGTGTTCTAGACCACCTTTCAAATGAAATTACTTAACAGAGGCATGGATTTTCAAGTACATACACAGTTTTGATGTCAGAAAGAAAGTTTTCTCATTTGTGTTGTACTTTACTTTGAAATAAAGTAAAATTTCATAATTGTGAAGATTTTAGGCATAAGAAGTAATAAAATAAATGTAGAACTCTCTTTTAATATAATACAGCCAGGTTAGATGTGCCAGATATTTTCTGTAATTCAGGCAGGAGCATATCTATTGATTTGCTATAGCTTACAGATTTTTAAAAATAAAATTCATATTTTAAAACAGAGCATTTTGACAAACCATCCTTAACATTATATTTTTATAGCCTAAAAAATTTGAGTGCCGAAGAATTGATGCTTTTCAACTGTGGTGTTGGAGAAGATTCTTGAGAGTCCCTTGGACTGTAAGGAGATCCTAAAGGAAATCAGTCCTGAATATTCATTGGAAGGACTGATACTGAAGCTGAAACTCCAATACTTTGGTCACCTGCTGCGAAGAACTGGCTCATTGGAAAAGACCCTGATGCTGGGAAAGATTGAAGGGGGGAGGAGAAGGGGACAACAGCGGATGAGATAGTTGGATAGCATCACCAACTCAATGGACATGAGTTTGAATAAACACCGGGAGTTGGTGATGGACAGGGAGGCCTGGCGTGCTGCAGTCCATGGGGTTGCAAAGAGTTGGACAGGACTGAGCAACTGAACTGAACTGAAAAACTATGTTAGTTTTATAGTAACTGTTTCAACATAGCATTTCAGGATAAATAATATTCAAGTAGAATTAGGTCCAAGAAGCTTTCTTCAGGTTAATCATTGGGATTTTGCAGGTTAACTGTTTAACAATTCTTAAAACTAATCCAACAGAAGGAAAGATTATGCACACACAAACATACTTAAACACACACACACCATTCAAGACACCAGCAAAATCCTTTTCCTGTGTATAAACTGAAATTTATTTCTTTTAAACCACATGAACTACTTAATTCACTAACCTCTGCAGTTCTCACGTAAAGTTCAACTGGAAATTTAATTTAAAAGTCTTTTAAAAATACAGACAGAAAATAAAGAATAAATTGACATACTCTTTGTTCTATATCACATTCTCTATGTCGAGATGTGTTGACAACACCGTCCTTCAAGGTCATTGCTAACTTGTAAAATCATTAGCAAATAAAATACGACTTAATTGAAGCAAACTCAGCAAGGAGCTACATTATTTTAAGTGAATGATGTAATATAACTTGAAGAATTACTAACTGCCACTTTCACTGACAGTGAAATAAATGAAGGGGCTATGCAACTTTCTCCTCATATCTTTTCCATAATTAAGTGAAGAAAGAGAATTTGTGAAGAATTATGAGTCCCAAGGTGCAGCAGTTCAAACACTAATAGACTGCACTCCAGTGTGGTAGCACACAGGTAGTTCCCAACATGTTATTATTAGCAAGTATGCCAGTGTTATA